TAAAAAGTAGTCAGGGGGTGTGAGGTCTGGAGATCTTGGAAGCCATAATCCTTTACTAATAATTCGGTCATCAAAATATTCTTCATTAGTTCACTAGTAGCTTTAGCTGTATGAGCTGTTGCTCCATCTTGTTGAAAATAACCCATTTGTAGCTCATCATCCTGTAGCTGTTCAACAAATTCAAGAAAAATATTTCGATAACGTAGGCCATTAATTGTGTCATAGAAAAATATGGGCCCTATTATTTTTCTTCTAGAAATTGCTACCCAAATACCAACTTTTATGGGATGTAGACTTGTCTCCACAAATGAATGAGGATTTTCAGTTGCCCATGCTCGATAATTTTGACTATTGACATATCCTGATGCTTCATCAGTAAAAAAAGTTCGATCCAATAAGTTATTGTCATTTAATTGCTCATTGAAAAACAATGAAATTAGATTATAAGAGAGTCAAGCTCCCAAACACTGTTCTTACCTGCTTGAGCTGCTAATTTTTCACCGATTTAGTGGGACTTTACACCATGCGAATTCGCACATCTTGAACAACATCTTCGGTTATTACTGTGGGCCTTTCAGACCCCTTTCCTTTACAAATGCAATTTTCGTTTCAAAACGTTGAACAAGAATGTTTCTATGATGACGAAAACTATCATATTCTCTTTGTACAGCTGGAAAACGTTTTTCAAATTGTTGATTGCAACTCTGAATTGAATATGACCAAATCATCATTTCGGGATCCACTTCTAAAATGTGCCAATAAAATAAAAGAATCTTGTTTCGGTGTAAACATTTTGAGCTGAAAATTATACTGTCAATAAACTTGTATAAAAGTAAATAAATTTATACTTACCAAAAGAAAACAACAAAGGCACTAATGCGCTCTAAAAAGAACTGATTGGTTTATTATTATTTGAGGAAAAATTGAATAAAAGCGTGTTGATAAAATGCAAAAAATCAAAAACCTTCATAAATATACCCAAAAACCTAAATGAACGCTAATGATATTTTTGACAGTATTGACATTGACAGTTGACATATTCTCCACTATGTTCTCTTGATAACGAGTTCGCAGATCTCGATCACATATTTTTCGGCTGTAAGAGTTTTTGTAATAATGACCTGTGGGATGGTCTTATAAGGACATATAAGGAACCAAATCAGGCCCTTTCGCTGTGTTTTTGATGTTATCAGATCACGTGGGTTTCGGGTATTGTTGAAGACCTGATAGTAGCTAAGGGCCGATTCAACCGTTGTATTAAACGAAGTTTAAATTACTAAATGAATATTAAAATGACATTTTTTTTCTCGCTTTATTGGCAATGGACATTAGTCCTTCAGCCACACACAAATTGAAAGGCATTACGTTTAAATATTAGATATTAATATTATTTTTACTTACATAATCTACCAATAAATCGTACACAGATTGATTTCCAGTCGCGAGCAACACCTTAACACACGTAGGAAACTAAATACCTGCTTTCATAAGACCATCCCACAGGTCATTATTACAAAAACTCTTACAGCCGAAAAATATGTGATCGAGATCCGCGACCTCGTTATCAAGAGAACATAGTGGAGAATCTGTCAGTCCTATTTTATATAAATGAGACGGGAAGCACCCATGGTTAATTTTCAATCTAGTTATAATTGTGCAGTACTTTTTATTAACTTTGTCATTGAATATATGTGATATTTTATTTGGCAACTCCTTGTAGATAGAAGAATATGAACTATTTGAATTTTTTGTTATTTCTCTCCAATATTTATTCCAATCTCTGTAAATACTATCTTTATATTTACCGTAAAGATCTTTGTAACAAAAATTTTTTAAAAGATTATTGCATACCCTTGCTTCTTTTGCAGCCTTATCAACTAACTCATTTCCATAGATGCCACTATGTCCTTTCGTCCATATAAATATAATTTTAACCTTTTTAACTTCTAACTGATTAAGCAAATTTTTTATCTTACATATAATAAAATTATCAAAATGTCTTGTTGTTATATTTTTATGCTCTCTAACACCGATTTTGAGTCAGATATTATTATTGCACTTTGTACCTTGTTTTCCGCACACCACTCCAAAGCTTTATGTATTGCGACAGCTTCAGCTATAAAAATGCTACAAATCTCTGGTAATTGAAATTTATACATTTCTTTATTATTTTCTATATAGAAGGCACTACCGACTCCTTTCAGATTTTTACTTCCATCTGTGTAACTTATTGTATTTACTTTATAACTGCTAATTGCAGAAAGTAATGAAGTTTTATTATAGGAGGGTAATTCATTATAGTTCGGAAATATGACGGTGGACTTTGAAAAACTTGATTCGTATCTATGTTTAAACACAGGTAACTTATTTGTTGTTTCAATAAATTGACTAAATTCATTGGTTTCAAGAAACGCAGTTGGCAATAAAGGTGAGTTTCTTATTCTCCAGAAGCGGTTTGTTAAAATTTATGTGTTCAAGTTACTGATTTTAAGCATTAAGGACGAATTATATGTGCTCAACTTAGTAATATATTTGTTAGCGATTAATTGTCGCCTAAAACGTAAGGGTAATTCATTTGCTTCCACCAGAATTGCATTAGTAGGAGAAGATTTCATTGCTCCGATACCAAGTCTTATTGCTTTGTATTGTATACGATCAAGTGTTTTTAAATTTGTGTTTGATGATGATCCGTAGAAAACACAGCCGTAGTCAATAATAGCTCTGATAAATTACCTATAAAATAGTAATGCTGTTTGTGGGGCAGCGCCCCAAGATTTTTTGGTAACACAACGAAGAATCTTTAACCCTTTTTCACATCTGTTTCTTAAATATTCGATATGGCTCGTCCAAAGCAGTTTTGGATCTAATACCACACCGAGATTAAAATGACATTGTAAATGTAAAAATGTCATTTTAATCTTTGTTTAGTAATTTAAACTTCGTTTTTTGTTAATATAAAAAATGTCATTTTAATCTTCATTTAGTATTTTAAACTTTGTTTAACACAACAGTGGAATCGGCCCTATAAGTAAAAATTTATAAAATTATTGTAACAAAATAGCTATTTGTGTATTAAGAGCAAACATGACGGGCGCTGCTCCGTCAAAAATCAATTTTACATTTGAGGTAGTTAAAAAAAATTGTAAAAAAAATGGTTCAGGCCAATCGTTCTAAAAATGAACCAAGAATGACGCTAAATCGCGAAAAAGTTATATTTTTAAAGAAAAACAACAAAAATTTCAACTTTTCAACAAATTTAATTTTTTGGCTCTTTAGCGTCATTCTATAACAAATATCTTAACTATTTTCCAAAATAACTTTTTTTCAAAAAGATTACCAATTTTAAACAGGACCGAATATTAACATAGTTTTCATTCCGATACTAATTCTATTAAAACAATGATACCAGTGAATATGGCAACGCTGCTAGTCTATGAAGCCCGTGGTTAAAAGGGTAGATGCTGTTTAGTTATATTTGTTAATTCCTATGTCGAAAAATAGGTAGTTGTTTTTGAAGAGGTGCGAAATTATTGTGATCGTCTTAGTTTGTTGTTGAGGCGTTGTTAGGTTTTTGTTTAATTTAGTTTTTAGTTAATTTATGAAATGAAAAATTCTGGAAGGCAAAAATGCACAGCTGACAAATTTCTATTTTATTTGTTTGCTGCCAGAGTAAATCCTAGAGAAATACGACATGTGCCAATTAGGGAAAAGAGATTGTCAAGAATTTTGCCCGCTTCAAAAAATGTGTAATATACAGGGTGTTTCTAAATACATGCGACAAAATTCAGGAGCTGATTGCTCGTATGAAATTAAGATGGGTCTTTCCTATAACAAAATTTCCTCAGCCCACCCCTTTTTGAGATATCACCCTTAAAAGGTGGTGACTAAAATTGAGTTTTTATTTTTTTTCTAAAATTTCAGTAAAGCTAGAAACTTGAAATTCTGCAATCGCAAAGGACTAACCACGGGTATTTTTTCAATATTTCTGTTACATTATAGGGGGGTGAAATTAGCAACACTTACTTTATTTCATATCAAAACTTTTTTTCAAGTTGTTTGATTTAAAAATAGTATTCCTACATCCCTGTAATATTAACAAGCCACTAAACCCCCAGTAGGCGGCGATAGCCAACGAATTACTTCGCCAATTGATGACATACCTGTGTTCATGTATTGTAATCGGACTCTACATAATATGATTATTCTTCAGCGCACGACACACAACATTGCCAAATTTATGTAGCGAATAAGGTTCCAAATATTTTAAGGGAGGTCGTGAGATCCGTGCGGTGTGACGTCAGAAGGGACTGGATTGCTTTTAAGAGCAGAAAGTCACACTTTAGCTGTCGAGACAAAAAGTTATCGAAACAGCCGAATTACTTTTTGCTCGAATTACACACAAGATTTTTTCCACGATCACACCAAAATAAAATAAATAATTAAATTTTATTAGAAATGGGTTACATTTTTATTTCGTTATAATATTTTAAGTTTATTTGACATAAGCCTATTCTTCGAAGAGAAAAAAAGGTTTTGATACTTAATGCCGGTAATTATTTATGATTTAATCATTTAATTATGTACGGAAAATACCGTTCGAAATATTAGGAAGTCAATTATTAGCAATTTAACGAGTAAATTATTGCGGAACGAGCGGAGCGAAAGAGCGAGAGAGCGAGAGAGTGAGAGAGTGAGAGAGTGAGAGAGTGAGAGAGTGAGAGAATGAGAGAGTGAGAGAGTGAGAGAGCGAGAGAGCGAGAGAGCGAGAGAGCGAGAGAGCGAGAGAGCGAGAGAGCGAGAAAGCGAGAAAGCGAGAGAGCGAGAAAGCGAGAGAGCGAGAAAGCGTGAGAGCGAGAAAGCGTGACAGCGAGAAAGCGAGAGAGCTAGAAAGCGAGAAAGCGAGAGAGCGAAAGAGAGAGAAATTTTAAAATAATACGTTAATATGTTTATTTTTGTAATCGTTAATTTTTGTAACGTTCCATGTTTTCTTCAATTTTCAGAACAGCATCGATCCGGTGGAACTTTGTATTATACAGAATGCTTGAAATATTGGCAATAACGGTTTTCTATGCCATATGCTTTGACAATATAGCTAAACCACTTTTTGAGGACTCCTGTATGAATAAAGTGACGCTTTTGGATTTACTCATAAAAATATTAGAATTTTCTGTTCCATCTTCCGTAATCTTAATTGGGGTGTTTTTTACTCTATTACATTCTACCCAAAATCTAGTTGGAGAACTACTTGGTTTTGGTGACAGGATGTTTTACTCCGATTGGTGGACCTGTACAGATTTACAACAGTATTATAAAAAGTGGAATATGGTACGTATTTTTTGAAATGGTTATTAATTCATTAACAAAGCTTAGTAGATAATATTAGGATGTAGTCAGTATTGGGTTGTAAATAACAGAAAAGGTTTAAAAGAATGTTTGGTTGGCTTCAGCTTCTGTGTAGGCAGAAGCCAGCCATGTTATCGTTTTGCTGAGGCTTGACTGTTGTGAGTGATGTTCAATAGACATTTAGGGATCATTATTCTAAGTTTTACGAATAATCTGAAAATTATCAAACGGTTCATTTGTACATTCACGTCCTAGTGTTTTGATATCTTGCACAGATCTTTTAGTGGATATTCTTTAGAGCTTTTTTTAAAATATGATGTTGTACACCAAACTAATTGCTAATTCCAGGATATGTGGCTCTTACAGAAAGTCTATTTTCAAAATAGGTTTTAAAAATTTATAGTTGGAAAGGCAGAGGGTGTAGAAGGTTTAAATTCATCGTGGAGTAGTTCTAGGAGAGAGTGTACATAAGCCTTGAGCAATAAGAGTTAGCACTGTTCAATTGGAATCATAATTCAGTAACAGAGTATATGTAGGTGTATTTAAGACATTCTCAATTTGTAATATTTGTTTATGATTTTTCAGGTAATCGGCGATTGGTTATACACATACACGTACAAAGATATTAATATTATAATGTCTAATACACCAAAAACAAGAGATTTTGCAAAGTTAGTGACGATTGTGCTCTCCGCTTTGGTTCACGAATGGATCTGTACAGTAACCACAGGATATTTTTTTCCTATAATTCTTGCCTCTATGATAATAAGTGCACTATTATGTGTCCATTTAAAAGTTCAAAATAGAACCAATGTAAAAAATACGATAGCTTTACTTATTTTTATTATGGGATCAAGTATTATAAGTTCACTTTATGGTCTTGAATATTTTGCTAGAGAGAATTTGAATATGCAAAATAATTTGCTGCCAGTTTTTCTTACACAGAATTGTATTAGTTTATATTAAATTATATGTAGAAAAAATGGCTCCATGACAGAACAGCTCAGGACAAAATGGCGCAGGAAAAAATAGCGCAGACAAAATACATTAAGGACTAAATAGCGCAAGAGAAAATAACGCAATGAAAAAATAGCGCAGGACAAAACAACGCAGGATAAAATAGCGCAGGACATAAAAGCGCCTGTCAAAATATTCCGGTATTCTAATTGGTAATTAAAAAAAACCCTAAACTAATTTACCTAACCTGTGCGGCCTGAAGCAATATACAGCAACCCATTATGGCTCCAGGCCGCCCAGGTTAGGTAAGTTATTTTAAATTTTTTTAATTTTAGTTAAAATATATATATTTTGTCACTCGTTAATTTGTTACACTTTTTTGAAAAATCACTAACTTAACTCACTTTATTCAGACTAGGCGTTAATTATATTGTTTCGCGCTAAAATGGGTCTGATCCTAAAATATGAGCGAAACGGAACTACACTTCAAACATTCTCTACATAGGCGTCGTTGGAACAGTATTTGTTACGCATTTTTTTAAATGTATTTCATTAATTGGTGGCGGTGTTTCATGTTTATTCATACCATTATGTATTTTAATAGGTTTGTACTTTTAAATATTTTAATAAACATATTATTAATATTAATTAAAGAAATATATCCTGTTCGTTACATGCTATTTTGTCCTTGCGCCATATTGTCCTGCGGTGTTTTGTCCTGGCGCTATTTTGTACATTGGCCATTTTGTCCTGTGGTATTTTGTCCTTCCGTTTTTTTGTCTGCGCTATTTTGACCTGCGCTGTTCTGACATGGTACCAGAAAAAATATAGTTTGGAACACTTGTACTTGTAATTCATTTGGAAATAAGATAAATATATAAATAGTTCAGAATTTGAATTATAGTATTGTAATAGAATATTATCATCTACAATGTTATCTGTTTTAGTAGATAATCACTTTAAACATCTAGGTATCCATTTATTATAACTACTTCTAAATAAAAATACATTTAAACAACTATTTTATTTTAAAGACTACAATGTTAAATATTTGATAAATTTAAGAGGGTTCTATATCCATCAGCTCCGTCAATTTCATACATAACCTCAAATCCTCGTCTTTTACGTCTTTGCCATAATCCCCCTTTAAAGAAATTGTTAGGCAGCCTGAAATACATTTCTGTGCATTTGTGGTTGCATAGTCTACTATTTCTCGGATAAGAATATCTAGACGTAGCATTTTTGGCCGTTGATGATTGACAAAAATAGATTTCTATATATAACCGGTTTTTCTTTAATAAGTTTAACACGGTTTCTAGTTTTTTGAGCTTATTTTGTTTATAATTACTTTTTATGAACACTTAATTCTATGGCCTTAACACATTCATAAATAGAAAAGAGTATAAATATATGTAGGTAAATATATTATTTGTTTTAGTTTTTATTTTGGAAATTTAAGAGATACTGTATTGAACAGTCTTCGTCCAATGATAACCTAATTATGCGGCCCCTAAACGCTCAATATATATAATCGTACAAGTTTAAGACTTGTACAACACAAAACGTGACGTAATCCAACCAATCTTTGGCTGTTTTGTTATTTGTACTCGACCCGTAATAAAAACCACTTCTTTGTCGATTTATTAAAGTCACAGTGATTATTCTCGCACAATTAGATATTCCAAAGACCTGTCATACAATAGTTGTCAGTCGGAAGGGCTCATAAATCTAAGGGAGTTGCGACATAGCCTTCCATCTTGGACGCTATTTCTATTTGAAATAGTAATCGCCAAGCTTGCCAATTTATAGAAAATGCATAAACGGTTTCTATATAAATAATATTTTCATTGCGTTTGACATAAAATATTTAAATTTAATTCATTAATTTTGATTTTACGTATTGTAAATAGACTGCATCGTATGTCGTAACCCTTTAGACATACCAAACCTTAGAACCGCGCTTTATTTGTTTGGAATGCCTAATTTACTAATGAAAAGGCATACACCCCAGACAGATCTACTGATTCAGCCCTTCATCTAGTTGCTGGCCGGATAGAAAGATCCCTGGACAATAAGGAGTCCGCCTTGGGTGTTTTCATAGACATAAAAGGTGCTTTTGATAAAACCACCTTCTCAAAGATAATACACTCGCTAACCAACAGGAATGTTTCACAAATGGTTAGTGGGTGGATACATAACATGCTCTCAAAGCGAGCAGTAAACATAAGTGTAAAAGATGTTAATATAAGCAGCTTGGTTGCGAGGGGATGTCCACAGGGAGGGGTGCTATCGCTTCTACTGTGGAATATGGTCTTCGACACCCTCATCCGCCGCCTCAATAATGACAGTCACTACACAATCGCATGTGCAGATGACCTGGTCATTCTACAAACAGGGAATTTTGAGAACATACTCTGCGAAAGAATGCAAGTAGCTCTAAAAATTATAGAACAGTGGACCATTCACTGACTATCAATCCTAAGAAGACAGAAATGGTCCTTTTCACAAGGAAAAGAATGAAAATGGAATTAAAACCTCCAGAACTCCTAAACACAAAACTAAACTTTGCGACAGAGGTGAAGTACCTAGGTCTCACCTTTGACAGCAAGTTAACATGGAACTCGCATTTAGAAAACAGAGTTAAAAAAGCATACATGAACAATGCCGCCGTACTGTGGAACGCACCTGGGACTTCTCCCCCAGGGTCGTCGCATGGACTTACACGGCTATCATAAGACCTATGCTAACATACGGTGCAGTTGTTTGGGTACCGAAAACCCAAAAATTAACAGCTATCCGTAAACTAAAACAAATTCAAAGAACAGCATGTCTCAACATAACAGGAGCCATGAAAACAACACCGACTAGAGCGATGGAAGTTAATATTAGTCTCACTCCCCTTGATATTTACATCAAGGACGTTGCTCTGACGACAATGACACGCCTCCGCACGGTCGGAATGAAATCTGATGTAAGACCTGGTGAGGCGAGTCGTCACTTTTGGCAGGAGGCGCTCGATACGCTCCCACTGCTTCAAGCGAACATGGACTCTATCTCACCGATATATATCTTCCATAAGCCATATAAAATTATAATAGAACAAATAGAAGAGCCAGAAGCACTACTCACCCTGAACAGACCACGAATTTATTCAGGGTTAGTACTAGAATGTCATGAAGCTTTGGCCGAAGTATCCATCAACAATGTGGTCACCTTAAGATGGATCAAAGGTCACGCCACATCGAAAGGTAACCATCTTGCCGATTTACTAGCCAAGAAAGCAGCCAACCAAATACTTTTTGGACCTGGCCCTTCTATTGGCCTGACAAAATCGGTAGTGACAGACCTAATTAAAGAACATTCATTCCCTCATAGGGCTATCAGAATCCACACTCTGCAAAGAGTGCTAACAAGAAGATGAGACCTTCGAGCATATCCTTTACAATTGCCCGATGCTCTCATTTATTAGAAGATTTGTAATCGGCGAGTATCGGCTAACACCGGCCGATATAAGAGGATCACCTCTTGGCGACGTTGTCAACTACATTAAATCTGTAGGCTGGCTGACGAGCTAGGAGGTGCCTATCATCCTATTAGGATGCACAATGGGCCTAATGAGGCCTAAGTGCCGTAGGGGTAACTCACCCTCCACACGTTACAGATACAGATACAGAACATATATATTTTTTAATTACGAACTCTATGAAAAATTGTATTCAGTATACGCAAATATCGTCCGTTAGTTCATAAAATAGTTGGCGCTGCTGTCACGCACGGAGCGAGCGAATGATGATTGAAAATAAGCTGACTGAAAAATAAATTTCCTGTTATCGATGTTTTTGGTAGAGAAAAAGAAATTTAAAATTTGCGTTTTCCTAGTGTTTTTTTTTGTGTTCATCGTCGTGTTTGAGGGAGTTTTTTGTTTTCCTTTTTTTAATAAATTTTTATTTTTTATATTATTATGTAAGGCTGTGTCTTCTTGTTCATATTTTTCTTTTATATCACACCGTCTGTTTGTTTTCTTAAAATGTGTTTAAAGTTTCTTGTTTTTCTTTGTTTTAGTTGTTGTCTTTTTTGTTGGGTTATTTTATTTATTAGAGACTTGTTATGACAACTTAAGTATCAGTTCTGTCAAATAGGTCAATGACATTGTTAGGGTTACTACTAAAGTTCCACTTCCCCTTATCTTCGCTATTCAGTGAAATATCGGAATAATTTTGTTCTGTTTGGAAGATAAGAACAAATACTTTCTTATGATGGATTCAATTGTTCTGTGACGTCATGGCTTACTTCCGGTTATTCCGGAAATAAAAGAAAATCGATTTTTTTTTTAATTTTAAAAGGAAACCCTCTTTTTTAATATATATTTAAATTTCTGATCGCCATATTGGTTAATATTTTTTTCTAAATATGTTACTATTAATTTGTTTATGGAGAAACCTATAGGAATGTATAAAATATTTTTAGGCTTCAAAATTACTAGAGACCCATTTACCGTATACCACTGGCGATCTAAGCATTTTTATTATTAGCAAACCGTTTAACAATTCCATCCGCATTTATCTTCGTTGTTAATTCAGATATTGGAATGAAAACTTATATTTTTTTAAAAGGTTGGGACAAATACTCTCATATACAGGTTTCAATTGGTGTGTGACTCATGGCTTACTTCTGTTTTATCGGAAATAACAGAAAATCTTAATTTCTTTTTAATTTTTAAATAGAAACCCCCGTATTTATTGAAAATTTGAATTTTAGGGACATTTATGGATAAGAATCATGTGTTGAAAATTTTCTGTCAGCTGTCAAAATGACCATCATATTGGAAAATATATTTTTTAATATGTTGCTGATAGAAAATTTTCAATATACGCTTTTTACACAAAAATATCCCATATATTCAAATTTTCAAAAAGAAAAAGGGTTTTCATTTAAAAATAAAAAATAAACTGCGATTTTCTGTTATTTTTTGAAAAACCGGAATAAAGCCATGACGACACAGAATAATTAAATTCACCATAAGAAAATTCTCTTTTATTTTTTATTTTCTTTGTTTTCCAATTTTTTCAAAATTTTTCCCCTCCCTATAGAATTGTGTAACTTGTTTCTTAAATTGCACTAGTGTTTTGACAACAAGGAGATTTGTCTCCTTAAGTAACTCGAGTAAATTTATTTATACAAAGAAAAAATATAAATAAGAATATAAAACTTTGCAAGTAAGAAGATTTATTAAAATATTTTTCGACGAAAAGTAGAGATGCTAAAATGTAGTTGTAAACAACTTGGTAATACAACATCAATTAATTACCAGGATTGGTGGAGACATAAAGTGTCAAAAGAGAAGCCCAAATATGGATAAAAAGAAAGAATCAAGTAAGTCAAGTTACTTGAA